ACGCGAGTAACCACCTGAGCGCCGACTCGTCTCCCTCGTGCATGCAATGCTCCGCAACAGCTGTGCGTCGGGTACGCCTCGCATGCCATCCACCAGCCCGGTGTTTTGCGGGTACGCCTTGCACACCCTGTTCCTACCTCCCCTCCTAGTGCGGCGGAAGCGCTGTATCGTGGACTGCGTACACCAGGCACACCCACCTCATGCATACTTCACAACTGTCCCCCTGCTCCTTTTGCGGGAGTTCTCTATATTCCTTTTTGCCCCAAGCAGCACGGGCTCACCATCAGGCCCACGTCTACAGTCGAGTCCGTGCACCCTGTGGTCAAAAAATCATCAGGGTCTGCGGGTTGGTACCAACCCCAGTCCGCAACACCCAGTCCATCGCGCTCGGCAACTGTGTCATAACAACAGTCCCACACCAGATCGATTATAGCTCCGAGTCGGGGCAGGTTAAGACCGGCACCGACTCCAGAAACTATTCCACCAAAACTCAGGTCTGTATCCGTGCCAAACCGATGACGAACCTGAAAACCAGTGCCCAATCAGTGCGGAACCAAAATCGAACCCTTGCCGACAGCGAATATCATAGAGAGATGTATTACCGTGGTTGTATCAAAAACAGTTCCATGTCCAAGTCAGCCCCAAACTGATCCTGTCAACTACACAGCGATGTGTACCACTTTGATGCCGAACCAAACATAGAATACCGCTCCCATGTCCCCGAACCGAACCAATGAAACCGTATCACAGCAATATCAGRCCYGGATARCTCGCGTCATACAGCCCCGAGCGTGTCCCAAACCTGAAAAATAGTACTAGCCTGTAGTACCACGTTGATGCCAAACCAAACCGGACCTGGAACAACCACCCCTGAACCTGTGAACAACGTAGAGGCGCGTACCACTCAGGCGCCAAACTAATACCGAACCTGAAAATATCTCAGTGGAGTATACCATCCAGATGCCGAGCCAATACCGAACCCGGAGGGCGTCAAGTGTCGAGACGATACCGAGCATGTAAGCCGTAGTCATCGAATACCGCAATCCCGTAATAGTACCGAACCTGTCCCRAACCTCGTGYCTGGACCGGAGCAGCGGCCACACCGACGCCACAACCCCAAGCGGAATAATCCAAGTAATATAACGGTAGCACCATGCCGTCCATCCGACCCGCACTCAGGTTGGGGTGAGGCTAAAAATTCAGGGAAATCAGGTAAGTCACGCGAGCAAATCTCAATCATCGCAAAATAGTGAAGATCGTCAGATATAGAA